TTCCCTTTGAGTTCAAAAGCCTAAAGATAAGACATCATAAATTATTTCTTTCAAAAAATTATCTTTCTTTTACTTCCACTTTGTTACAACAATTTCCTATTGGTGCTTTTTTCTTTATATGCCTGACTTTTGATTTTTGAATTGTGTATAAGCATTTTCTTTTTCTTTCATTACACCAGTGTTACCTGATTTTTTTTCTTTTTCAAAACATGTCCTTTTTATTTTTATGTAACTTTTGATTTTGGCATACCATTACTTTTACGTGCTCTACCATCCTTAAGATAAAGTAGTGAGCATTGTTTTTCTTTGAAAACGGTTAATGATTGTAACATTTGAAAAGAACAAAAAGTTTCATTGTAAGGCTCAAAGGGGTTTGTCACAAGATTCACGCCCTCATAAGGTAGGCTTTTTAGGTCAAGTAGTTTTCACTCAATAACAAACAATGCCTTTATCATATCTATGGATTTCAAACATATCAAGTAATAGCAAGGCTGATGCAAAGTATACATGGTTAGCATGCTTATCTGTTCTCATTATTTAAATAAAACACGAGGTTGCACACATCTCACTTGGGTAGGCTTATGATTCATGACTTATGTCAACATGTTTTCACTAGACAGTAGAAAAATTAAACTTTGAATAAAATTCACAATCATGTTATATTTTACAGATAATTGTTAGACGATGGCAATGATCTAGAAGGTGGGAGGGGGAAGGGGGGGGGGGGGGGTTGAATAGATTTCCAAATAAATATCTGAACCGTTATTTGTAATATCGGATATGCGTATAAACCGTACTAAAACATATGCTAAATATGAGAAAAGTAAACTAATAAGTTCTATATAGTGTGTTTGAATATAAACCACACAATGATAAACTATTTCCAATGAAATGTGAAAATAAACTTGACTCAAGAAATTTATCGAACACTTGGTGTGTAGTCAATTTATCAAACACTTGGTGTCTAATACACCAAGCTTAATTCTCTTTGTGTTAAAGATGTAACAAATCAATTGCAATTGTTTAGTTTGCAATGGTTTCACAAGACAGTTTAGATGCTTCAATACAACTAGTTTTTTTAGCAATTCAAATTGCTCATTAAGTGTTATCAAAATATAACGAGAATGAGTGAGTGGGTGTGTGTGAGAGAGAGAGAGAGAGAGAGAGAGAGAGAGAGAGAGAGAGAGAGAGCACCAAGATTTGTTTAGGCAGTTCCCTAATTATCCTCACTATGTGTATGTTTCCCCTCAATTCGAAATCGAATTGAAATATTGTAATTAATATTTGCAATAGTAGTTTATAAAAGAAGTAGTAGCAATTCAAACCCCTAAATCTTATGTTTAATGTTAATCCTAGCTTCTTCTTTTCCCTTGATCTTAGCTAGATCAAGTCACACAAGATCTCGAATTTGATCATCTAGTTACCACTAGTCCTTTGATTGAACCTCTGTTCTTCAAAGCTTTCACTCGGCTGAATCCAAATTGTGAAATCTTTCCCCGAGTCTTTCAATTGATCCTCTAGGTACCGCTTTTCCTTTGCAAGAACTCTCGTTCTTCGAAGCTTTCACTCGGGTGAATCCAAGTTGTAAAGACTTGTGCAAAAACTCCAAAATTAACCCTTGGCCTTGAAGGAAAAACCCTAAAGGTTTTATCAATGAAACCCAAAAAAAAAACTCAACTCAATTTGATTACACCAACCTAAATTAGAGCTTATCAATCTTATCTTGATGACACTCAACAAAAATGATTATGTAGTTGTTGAATGCATGCAAAGAAAGGTTGAATATGATGAAAATTTTCTAAGTGTGTTCTTGGTTTCAATATTGAGAAATGGTGCATGAATGCATATTTATATGTTTTATATGTATATGTGTGTAGAAAAGAAATGAACAAAACAAATTTTTTTGCCAAAAATGCAAGTTTTGAAAGTTAGAACAAAATGTGTTGACTCCAATCATGAATGAGACAATACATACTCCAATTGAATCAATATATTTGGCAAAGGAGTCGAGACATTAAGGGCAGAGAGTTATTGTTTGAAAAAAAATCTTCTAAAGAAATCGAATCCGAACACGGAGGAGTTGACTCATCCGCCTGATGTATCGATCCATACCGTCAATGTATCCATACATTGAGGGCAGAGATTGAAAAACCCCTTTAGATGGAGTTGACTTCAACCATGAAGAAGCCGACTCATTCACAAGATGTATCGACTCATTTAGCCCGTGTATCGATACATTATGAGCTTAACCATTTCCTTTGAAAATCAACTTAGTATGTATTGATACATACCAAGAATGTATCGACCCATTGACTACTTTTTCATGATTTTTTGTGTGTGCATGTGATGACCTATTTAATCTAATTTTAGATGTACTATATATGATAAGGTTGAATATACATAAAATACTAAGCTGCCTAGTTTTGACATTATTCAAAACATATCTACGAAAATAGTACACTCACAATAATTAGACATTAATCATGAATGAGCCATTTAAAGAAAATAAAACTTTTTTCGTGCCTTTTGTTATCAACCTATCATTTGTGATTTCATGCATTTTGGTTGTTCAAATCATCATCCCAACCATTTGCATACAAACTTTCTTTTGGCAGTACTTTTTCAAAATAAATAAGAAATTGACACTTAATTATGAAAACAATTCAAATTTAACAAATATAGAGTACTGACTTTAATCATCTTTGCATTCAATCCCGTGCAGATAAGAGAAGATGGAAAAGTTTAACAACTTCTCATTCAATATAGACAAATCAGAGTAGACAAAAGTAAAATAAAAAATAAAAAATATTAACATAAAACAATATAAAAAATAGTATAATGAAACAGAAAAAACATAGAAGATGCGAGATTAGAAAAGATGAAAAAAAAGTGCAGAAGATAAGAGAGATTAGAGAAGAAAGTTGCGATAAAAACGTAATTGAAAGAGAGAACAATAACATAAAAATGAGAAGATGAAAAATAAAGAACATAAGATAAGAGAGATTAAAGTAGAAGAGGAAAATTGTTCATGACAAGAAAGATGAGAAGAAAGCGCGATAATACTATGAGAGATTTGAAGAGACTGAGACTGAAACCTTAAGTATGAATAAAAGAAAATCGTTCGTAATAGTAATACTAATATCTAATAGGTTTGAGTTTTAAATTGAACGTGGGATAAATAAAGTTTGGATTGTAATATAATATGATTTGATTTGTTTCAATTCGGTTTGCAAAATACTAACCACAAATTAAATAGAACTGTGCAATTTTGTTAAACAACGATTTTATAAAACAAATAACTCAAAATACATCTAAAACAAATGCGACTTTTTTACGATTTCAGTTTGATTTAATTTACAATTTTTTATTGAGTTGGTTCAGTTTTGAACACCCCTAATTCATGGGAGACAAAACGAGTTAAGGATAGTCTATCACACATTTTGTTTTCTTTTTCTTTTGAATTTTTATGGCTATGAGAAGTTAACATTCATTATTAGCGGACCATTTAAAAACTACTTTATTTATATGTAAAAATTGTAATAAGTTAAATTCTAACCGTGTTACTATTACTTTCATATATATATGTTAATTAAATCAATATTCATAGTGCTTTATAAGATTAAATTAGTTAATTTATTCGTGTATCACACGGATTTATAATGAGTTAAATACATAAAATGAAAAGAAAATTGCATATTCAAACGCCTCACTATTAAAACCAGTAAAAAAAAAAAACATCTTGTGTATTTTATTCGGTTGTGTTTAAAATACAATTTTGAAAAATTGGAGGGTGGTAGTTACGTCCATTACACACAACAAACTTGTGATCATTGAGTGTGTTGGTGGATTAAGGATTTGAGCTTTTATTAAAATGTCATGCTATAAAACCACCATCATTTATAGTTAATGACATGATCCAATACTGTAGATGTGCGGAAAAGATATCCGATTTCTATTAAAAAAACAGAAACAGATGTTCACAACATTAATTGTCAAATAGCATCTAAGAAAAAACTTAAGTCATCCTTAATAGGGTTGAAATGAATCGAGTCGAGTCGAACTCACCTCAGTTCGACTCGACTCGTTAAGAATTGGTTCAGTTCATATCTCGGCTCGAGTTCGACACGAACTTTTTTTTCAGCTCAAACTCGACTCGTTATAAGTTCACGAACAATTCGGTTCATTTCGTTAGGTTCATCTCATTAGGTTTAACTCAAATGGTTAACGGACTTAAAAACTATTTTTTAAAATTTTTTTTTAGTATATTTGACATTTTAAATTAATATTTTTTTAAAATTAAAATAAAAGTTATCATATTGAAATTTAACTTTATCTCTGAAATCTACTAATTTAAAAACCTACACAAATTTCAAGAGATACATTTGAAAATCTAATTCAAAAACTACTAGATTGAAGATTTAATTTGTCTAAGATTTGGAGTAAATATTTAAACCTAATCTTAAAAACAGTCTCATATGTAATCGAATTGACTCATGAACCTAACGAGTCGAACTGTGTATAGTTCAAGTTCAGCTCATTTAGTTAACGAACTTAATTTTTCGCTTATATTTAACTCATTTGGTTCATGAACCTAGTTCAACGATTTAATTATCGAACCGAATTTCAAACTATTCTCGAGTTGATATGGTTCCCTGTCAACCCTAATCCCTAATAATGATCTGTATTTGAGAGAGAAAAACAGCACTCTTGCTGTTTTGCACCAGCAGAAAAGCAAACTATGGATAGAAGCAAATTGAAATTACAAATATATGTACATGATTATTATTTGATGAAACTACACTTCAGTTATTACAAGAGAACATACATTGTCCTGCATTATAAACAGATTTCCATGAGAAAAAAAAAACGATACAAATGTTTCGAAATAGATACTATCCCAGAAACAAGAATATTCTTCAGCAAATAACAGTTTCTAAATGAATTTAAATTACTTAAAACCAGAAACACATGTACAAAGGTTTTATAATGTAATCGCCGCCTTAGTTACAAGAGAACATTGTGCTGCGATATGCATGTGCTGAAAACCATAACGGGAGTGTTGAGCTATATTTCACGGCGTACATTTCTTTCCAGACATGACTCCTGCGATGATACACCAAAACCTGCTTATGAGTTGCCATGAAAACATAGTCGCTCGTCTGACTGATCGGGAAAATGCCCGGCACCATTCCTTTGATACACCTCAGACTCACCTTATCCACAACGCACCATTCATCGCTCCAGTAATTTTTCAGCACCCATATAGTCATCCAGGCTTCCGAAATTTGAATAACCGACAGACAGCCATCTAACTCCAATAAATAAGTCCTATTTCCCGCTCCACAAATCGGGTCATACGGTAACGACATCTTCCTCCAAATATCACAACTTAAATCAAGTACGAGTACATAACTAGAGCTAGCGGTCAACCAATGCAATGCATTATTGACAAAAACAACTTGATTCTTATTCATATGAGTAAAATGTTCATCTTGAAAAGAAATCAACTTCCTCCACTTGTTCAACTCTGAATCAAACACCAAACATATGAATTTCCCATCAGGTCTATGACCAAAAGTCCGATGACTACCAGCAAGCACAACATTGAACTTCTGATACGCCGGATCACATGCCAACCCAACCAAAGTAGCTTCACCGTCAGGATAAAACCGAGTCACCGGCCTTTCCCTACTCTTAGGAAGCAACCGAAACTGCCGCGTAACCGGATTACAAACATAGTAAACACCCATATCAGGAATACTAGAACAACACAACAACCCATTACAAGAAGCTCGAACCTTAACTCTGTCGTTCAAGAAATTGAGCGAAAATTCAAAGACACCCCTTAAACTATCAACACAGATTAAGCTAGATTTGGATTCTAATAATGAATCTGAAATCTCAACAAGAATCATAGGGTTCTTCCTAGAAACATCATTGTATAATTGAATGAAATAGTTATCCAAAGTCAACCTATACCACAATTTGCACACACTTTTGCTTCTAAAAAGCGATTTCACTGGTAACCTAGCAAGAATCTGAATAACCACCTCATCTGGAAAAACCCCATCTCCTAGTTTATCCATAATTGAAATCCACCACTACATAATAACAATAATATACAAAAAAAAAAAAAACGTACTTTAATAACAGATTAATGAAAAAAAACAGAAAATAAATTTCTGGGTAGCGAAAAAACAAGTTAAAGTTTTCGATTTTGCTTACCGGAACGAAATTGGGGGAATTCGATGAGACTGCAATTGATGGAATTGGGAAAGGGAAATGGTTCCGAGAAAGGGGAAAATGGGTTTTTGGTTTTTAATTCTGGTTTGGAATTGAAGAAAGCGATTGCGTCATAGAAAAGTTGAAGCGACAAGGAGAAGAGAGATTGAGGTTAATCAATGTGTGGGGTTGATTTGGTGGGATTGTGAGAAGAGGAATGTGCATCTGGTCTAAGGAGAGAAAGATGGCAAAGGGGACAAAAGAATAAATAAAATAGATATTTTGACACACGTTAATTTCATTATACTATATACATTTTAAAAATGGGGTAGCTTATACAATATAAAAATATAAAAATATTAATAAGGTTGCTCTTTAAATCCTCACTTTCAAAATTCACAAATGCCTATGACATTCAAGGATGCATGTTCATATACACTTTTTTACCTAACTTTTATAGCATCAATGAGTAATTTTATTTTTTCAAAGTTTAATGTATCTCCGTACAAATGAGTCTAAAAATGTATCTATGTTAAAATTATGAATTTGAAACTAAAAGTGTTTTATGTAGATAAGTCTTCGGACACATTTTATTCATAAATATGCACCAGACTCTTCCCTCTTCCTCCAAGTCACTAAAAAACTCTATTTGAACTCTTTTGTTGCAAACAATTTCCAAACCCTATTTTAGCAGTTCACTCACTCCATTCTACTTCATTTACTACAAAGTAACTCATTCCATAATAACTTCTCATCCACAACTCAAATTTGGTAATTTTCTCATTTCATTCTTTTTTTTTTGTGTGTGTTTTAAATGTTGTTTTAGATAATATAGGTTGTTTAAGTTGTATTAGACAGTAGTATAATCGAAATAGGTAGTTGATATTAGAGCTCTCAAAATGGGCTAGCCTATATGGGCCGACCCGTCAAGTCCAAAAAATCATAAGGTTCGGGCCTTAAAAATAGAGCTCATATTTTTTAGGATTTTTTTAGCTCGACCTTAAAAAGTCCGCTACCCATTTACGCTAACTCGTATAGGTCGTGGGTAGCCCATTAGTCCCGCAAAACAATAAAATTTTTAAAAAAATTATATTAATACTTATATTATCTTATTACAAAATAACGCATTGATTTTTTCCACCTCACCAATTTTTATCTCTATTATATTCAATCTTTCTCTTTTAAATCTTATACATTAATATAATCAAACACCCCTTGCTCATATTCTATTAGTATATCTTATGTTAAATATTTGAGTATTATTTTATATAATTTAGACATGTGTTATATTTAAAAGCACATTGTAGTGTTTATAAAAAAGATAATATAATACTTAAAAATATATTATGTTTAAAATAATATATTTTTTAATTTAATTTATAATAAATATTATGGTGGTTTTTGTTTTAATTTTTTTATTTTAAAAAAGCCCATTTAGGGCCGGGTAGCCCGAAACCCATATAGGGCCGAGCTTAGGTAGTAATTTTCGAGCCCATATTACAATATGGTTTTTTTGGCTTAGGCCTAAAAAGCCTGAGGCCCGCCAAGGCCATCCCTTTTAGGACCGAGTAACCCACTTTGACAGCTCTAGCTGATATAAACATGCATTATCATTTGGTTGGAGGTAAGGATATCAATGAGGTTTTCGCCATTGCTGAAAACTACGAGTTCATCCAAAGAAGCACCTCTAGAATTTCTCTGTAGTATTTTTCGAATATGTATCTTCACATTTGTGCCTAATTGCATTTTGGTTGAATTTTGTATATGACTTTTTGGTTTTATTACAAGTGCAATGGCTAAAAACAACCTGGATAGAATTAGGTTCGCCCGTGTGTTCCAACACACGTCTGTACAATGTGAGAGGGCTAGGGTAAGGCCACGAGGCCATGAGTCGATGATACCTCGTTTAATGGTTCACATGGTTGACGTTCACAACCATCTGGTTCTACTTTCTGTACTCACCTGTCTTAGACATCTACTTCACGGGGCCATGCATCCCCATCTCATGAAGCCCCCATAAAGTCCTTGAAGCAACCGTTGTTAATGACCCTGTAGATAGCTATCCAGGAGGTCCATTTTACACCTCTTTACTTCATTTGTATGGAGACCATGCTGCTAGGCATGTTTAGGAAGTAGAGGTATATTTATTTACTTTTGCATTACATCTATTTTAAACTAATTTAATCGCGACTGATGGTATTTTTTTTACAAGAGCGTGCATGTTTAAAACTCGTAAACTATAGAAGGAAGGTATTGGATTCGGAACAACCTAACGCTGACTGGTTCAAGAATGTTCTGCTACTAAATATTTTTATGGTTTATGTGTTGCTGCATGCACTACCATAAACCATGGCATGCAGGCGACATTTGCAAAGAGATGACATTCAAAGACGTCATTTTTTTACACTGCTATTGACAAGATGACTATTACCCTAAATGACGTCTCAGGCCTTATGCATATTTCAACAAGAGGAAAATTACTGGACCACGGAAGGCTCGACCGATAGGAAGCCAATGAGATACTAGTTACATATTAGGGCCAACTAACACCGCAAAGGTAGCTGGCATCAGAGGTGCTCATGCTAGATTTAAATTTTTGGAAGAACTTTATAAAGACCACATGCAGATGGTTGTGGATGCCAAAGGTGATGATATGCTGGTTGTGTACCACCGCCAATGTGCATTGAGGTGTTACCTCTTATTCTTTGTTGGCACGTCCATGTTTATGGATAAAAGTACAACCTACGACGATGTGGTTTACCTTAGATACTTCATCGACTTGACGGAGATTCACGAGTACAACTGAGGGCCCGCTTGTTCGATATATCTGTTCTCAAAGTTGGGCGAGGGTTGTCTTTGGAAGATAAAGCAGATGACAGGAACTTGTACACTATTTACGATAATTTACTATTACTAATATTTTCATAACTCTTTTGTTACACTTGTTATTAATATTTTACCTGAACCATTTTTCAGGGATGAATCATCTTCCACTTTCCTCGCATTGTCGGGTGGGAACCTATTCCTGACTACACTGAGGATTGGTCACGTGCTTTCGCCTTTGCCCCACTCAGAGGAAATCATGTGATCGAGCCATTTCAGGTGTATCTTGATTGTCATGTAACAGATGACATTGCCTTTTCCCATACAGCGGTCACCACCAGATGCGTCAGCTGGACCTCCTTTTGTTACACTCTGGATGGCTGACATGTGGGTCATATCTGATGTATCTGTATTTTCCCGAGCAAGCGATGCACTAGTTTGGGTATTTATAGATTATTATGAGACACCCATCAGAGTCTGCTCCTCCCACTGTCTGCCAAAGAGATCTTGATGTGATACTTGAGGATTTCGAGAGTTATTTGGTACTAGAAGACTATCACATGGTGTTAGCTTCTCCTATACAATGGGCTTATATAAACGACTACATTACATGGTTTTATAGGGTGTCATACACTATCATGATACCATACGCTCCTGAAAGACCATCTAGGTCATCTAATTAGGAGGTACTTGAAGCAAGGGATGGTAGCACCCACGATGTAAGCAACATTTGTCGATGTGCAGTGGATGTGAAGAGTTCGGGCATAGAGGTAGAACTTTTTTAGGAAAATAGTCCCTGATTTTCCCTCGTATAAAGCATTATTTACGAGGAAAGGAATTCCTTACATTACAAGTGGAGAAGTCGAGGGGTTAGACATACTCAACAGTTTATGTTTGGTTGTATTGTTTTTTGTATTTTCAGAACAAGATATGCATGGCCGGTACATTTTGATTTTACTTTAATTAATGTGGGGCTTTTTTAATGTATGTGTAGCATGTTTCAATAAATTAATATATCCTATTTTTAATTTATGGCTTAAAATAACCTAAAATATAAGTTGGCCAAAAAAATGTCAATGTTGGTATATTGTCGATGCCTTGAAAGCATTCATGCACTACTACAAAATATACCTTTGTTAACGCTAACTTGCAATGCTTTGACAATTTACCGTGGTAATACCTTATTTTTGGATGCATTTTGTTTTTTTGTATATTTACGAAAATACACTGCATTATGGTCAAAACAATCAACCAAGATTATACATTCATGTAGTGACATGGTTCGAATTCCAACTTCAACAATTTTCTATTTTTTCGTTACAATAAGTGTTGTCCTTATAATATGATATACATATTAAAATTAAATAACTATCATCACAGTTGGTAATGTCAACCGTTGCGAAAGTCATTACATTTCATCAAACTTTTTTAATACGACCGTGGTGAAATTGTTTACCATATATAAGCAAATTAACTTTCGCTTCTTCACAGTATCGCCGCATCTTACATAGCAAAATCCTAGCACACATTTTCTCTCTTCTTCTTCGTCATTAGCTTTCATATTCTACAGTATAGCCTCAACCTTATTCTTTATACATAAAGATATTCTTATTCTTCCTTATGCTCTCGCTTTCGTGTATGTTGTTGTTATGTTTCACATGATTTTCACATTATTTTCTTCTTGTTCGAGAGTTTATATGTTTTTTTTATTGTTGTATGTTTCATATGATTTCCATATTATTTAATTTGGTTTCACATGTTTTGATGTTGGTTTAGATATGCTTTAGGTTTGGATATGTTATAGGTTTAGGTTTCGAAAAAGGGGTTCTCTTTCCTACGATCCTTTTGACACCTTCTAGACCTATTCTTCTCTCAGATTTCAAATCTTTCTCTTAGATTTCAGACCCTTCTCTCAGATTTTAAATCCTTCTCTCAACCTGAATCAAGACCAAGCTAGTGGGAGCAAACTTGTCAAAGAGATTAAGGCTTAAAAGGAAGTTATTGATATGTGGAGATATGGTTGAACAAAGCCAAGGAAGTT